GGTATATTCACTCGACAAGCTCGCGCATCTGCGCCGCCGCGCACTCAATCCACTCAGCGTGCTTTGTTTATCAGCAAACATTTTATGATTAGTTCTTTCCGTGTTTAGGAATAGTATCTATTGTGTTTTATTACCTCATTTTGACTGGGCAGCCCAAGCTTCTGATTTAAACATACATGTGAATGGTTTTTACATAAATCCTTTCTACATCAAATGAGTCAGATTATAGACTAAACCACAAGACTTGAGTCAAAGTATATGAGCCTTATGTTGCTCTCTACCTCAGACTGAGGCTGCGAGAGAGTATCCGGTAGCAGCTAGGGCTGTGCGATTTCGGGGAAAATATCAAATTGCGATTTTTTTGACAGATATTGCGATTGCGATTTGATTTGCGATTTTAAATTTGCAAAGTCAAGCTTCAGCTCAATATTGCCAATAATGTGCCGCACAGGCCCGCCATATACCTGTTTGCCATTGTTTGACCCTGCCTGTTTACCACGTCTCTTTAATAAAGCCTGCAGATGGATCCACACGTCTCACGTCTCGTCAGCCCCGTTACACCCACTCTGTCTCTCTCCCGCTTTCTGTTTTTTTTTTTTTTTAATGGTGGGTGTTTACGCAGTTGGCTAGAGCAGTGCTGATTGGAGAGAACGGAGGTGCGCTCACTATATTGGTTAGTAAGACTGCAACTCAAGGCTGGCTGTCATGCATATGCTCTGGAGTAATATCGCATCCATATCGCAGGCTTTGCGATTAGGAAATCGCAACGTCTCAAATCGCGATTTCGATTCGATTTCGATTAATCGCACAGCCCTAGTAGCAGCTCAAACTTTACTGTGGCACACACTGTCCCTTCAGCACTACAGAGAGAGCAGTGAAGGGACTGTGGCGTGCTGCAGTCTGTCCTGAGGCATAGAAAAGGCTGACTGCAGACTAAGAAAGTACAGTTCTCTTAAATGGCCCAAGGAAATGTTGCATTTTTTTTTACTAAATGCCTCATTTAATAGGAAAACAGTGGCATGAAGTCTTTCAGACTAAAATAAGGAGCATCAACAGAAGCATAAGTAATATCTCCACTCACACTCTCGCCCGCGGCTGGCTCCACGGCCCCTCCGCGGGGCCCCTCCTCTGCGACGTGCCACATCTCTTTCTCCTCCTTTCTCTCGGTTCTCCTTCCCTTCATCTCCTCCATCCGTCTGTGCGCTTTCCTTCTGACCTGAAACTCCTTTCTTCTTTCCAACCATCTCCCATGAGTCCTGCAAAGCAAAGGGCAAATTTAACATGGAAAAGAGGTATGACAATATGGGATTTGAGAAATGTAAGACTTTGAATCACATCTAAATACTAATAAATACACATATTGATAAATTCTTTAAAACAGTAGTGTTATAGTTAAACTATTAAAATAATTTTCAGATTAAAATCATTTTTAGTAATTGAAAGAAAAGTTGAAGTTTAACATGACATTACATGACAAGCATATTTTAGTTACTTGTCAATGGAACATTTCTAACTTTTCTCTAAAAGGTTGAAGTAAATACTGGTTAAAAAAATATATATATGGGCTTTTTTTTTTTTTTTAATTTCTCTTACAAACACAAACCTTTCCACCTCTAAACTCAAGCCTGAACTCACAGTGTCAGGGCTGCCCTCCAACAGGATGTTGATGGCTCTGTTGACGTCTCCGTTGCAGTCATGAAGCGCTATCATGGACTCATCCTGATCCTTTCCTGTGATGTCAACCAGCTACAAAAGAGAAAAGGAGCAACAAGAAGCATTTAAAGTCATGTGGGTGTATGACGTAGGCCATATATCTGGAAGGCAACATGATAAAACGGAAGTGGCTGAGGGGACTGATGGAAACTTTGAATGAACTATGAGATGTCTGAGCTTTATGTTGCTCTCTAATTCAGAGTGAGACTGAGAGAGAGCATCCGGTAGTAGCTCAAACTTTACTCTAGCACAGATGGTCCCCGTCAGAGCTATAGCAAGAGCAGTGAGGGAACTTTTGTGTGCACTAAGTGTCACCTCTCTCGGCATCTGTTCTGTGCAGTGAGCGGCAGAGAAGCAGCGCTTTCAGTTGTCCGCATCGCAGCCGACTCGTCAATAAATGAGTACAAAACAGCGTTGCCTAGCACATGTCACTTACTGATTGTTTGGAAATTATAAATATGAGCGTAGTTCGTTTGTTAATATCATATGCACTTTTTTTTGTTTGTAGTTTTTTTTATTTGTTACTCGGACGCAGGCAGTGCGCTGCATGAGACAAAAAATATAGCTAAAGCAACCGCATAGCCGCTCTTTAGTGTAGATGCATGCTGATTTTATCAGACGATTAGAAATGAGTGACTCCTGTTTAACATGTATTAAAAGGGGTCGTGTTTAGTCACTATTTAGTGTGGTATTTTTTGACAATATTCACTCATTATGACAGTAAAATAGGGCATTCTAAGTCAATATACTGCAGTATTTCCTCTCTCAATCAGTAGAAAATATGGTTAACACCCGGTCATGCATGAAAAAAAAATACCGTCATGTACCGTGAAACCGGTATAATTTTGAAAAATACAGTGATAAAATTTTGGTCATACTGCCCAGCACTAATTAGAACATTCAAGCAGTTTTTTTTAAATGTGCCATAGATAAAACATTGCTGGTGTGCATCTCGATACAAATCAATGGCAATAACATATTTTAAGATATGTCAGTGCAAGTTAATTTCAGTTAAAGGCAGAGTAAGTGATTTTTCAAAAACACTTTAGAAAACTGATTCGGGCCGAATCGCAAAACAAACTTGTAGCCAATCAGCAATAAGGGGCATGTCTACTCGTGATGTGGAGGAGAGCGCGTTCAGTGCATGGGACGGACATTAGCCGAGCCGAGCGACAGAAAGATAGAGATGGCGGATAAAAAACAAAAGAGGAAAACGTCTGCGGAACGATAAGGCAAGAAGTAGGACCCGTGTAAATATCGGATCAGCTTTCCAGCGCTGGAGAGAACTCAAGGAGTGGAGGCCTGCGATCGGACGCTGAGGTTGCTTTGTTTCTTCTCAATAGGTGAGTAACACCGTGTCTACAACAGCTAAAGTCTGCCTACACTGGACGCGATCAAACGACCGTTGAAAACCATTTGAAATTTGTGTCAGCACGTCATAAATAGAACCCGGCAGCAGTTTTCTGTCGGGATTTGTCGCGCCGCACCGCTCACGTCCGTAGACACGGTGTAATATTGATTTTGCTTTGTTTCACAGAACTAATCGTTGCCTGGGTTGCGTACGTATATGTGGGGCGGAGCTATCAAAATAGGGGCAAGACCCTTTTGGGGTAGGGGTGTGTTTGTTTTGGTGATTTCAAATATCAACATTGGCTACCAGAAATCACTTACTCTGCCTTTAAGACAGTCTTGGACCAGGCTTAAGCCTTGTCTATGAATCTGCGCATTAAAGATGTTTTTACATAAAATCCCAGAATGACCCAGAATGAAACTGCTGGTATAGACACGTCAGAATAATCAAGGAAAACTGATTAGAAGCTACAGTCAAATTTTCTTTATTGATGGGACTGTTTGATGGAGGTAAAGCAGAACCTGCCATTAAATTCCTTTGAGCCAACTTCTGACATCCCTACTCACCTGTTTGACCTTCTCTTCAAAGTCTGCATCATTATGGTCTGAGATCATCTGCGCGAGTCGGATCTGCTCAGCGGTGGCCTGAACAAACAAAAGGAGAAAATGGTTAAGTCTGAGTCCATAACAGTTGTAAAACATACAGCAATGAATTTCAGCATCATTTATGAGTAGGATTTTAACAGAGTCTTGAGGCCAGATTTACTAACAGCTTGCACCAGCGCAAGCCCTCTTTTGGCGTTGAAAAACTGTCAGGATTTACTAAATAAGCACAGTAAAACATTAGCGATGAAAAGGCGTGGACAGTCATTTTTGCAGCTAACCTTACTGCATATACATTTGTAGGCATTTCCATTTCAGATGCAAAATTTATGGAAGGAGAGTATATAAATTAATCACACAAGGTGATTTACTAAGGTTAGAGATAGTCAGTTTACTAGTCATTATGGAAATGCACTGGCTGTGTCTGTGTTCTTTAACTCTGTAAATCACCTGCAAAACTATCCACTCCCATCGGCGCTTTTCTGAAATTGCTCTCTCAAGCTAATATGGCGTTTAGTAAATCTGGCCCTTAAAGTCTTCAAGTTAAAGTTAAAACATACACAACTAATTTCCTCTCAACGTTTTCAAATAGCCATACCATCGAAATTAGCATGTATGATGGCTATTGGTTAGCTTGTTTTTGCACTTGTTCACGGAAAAAATTTAAATCTTTACAAATGAACTGGCTTCTTGTATTATAATTGATCATGTTGGAATATATACAACTGCTTGTTGCAGAGACATTTAAGCCTGAATTCAGACTTTTAGGCCGGTTTCTTTCACAGACAGGGTTTAGATTAAGCCTGGATTAGGCCTTCATTAAATTAGAACTAGTGCTGGGCGGTATACTGGTTCATACCGAATACCGGTGTTTATTTTTGTTATGATATGAATTTTTTTAATACCACAATACCGGTGTATGTCACTTAAACAACGTTCAGAACGCGACACTGTTTGAAAGGGGTCCCTTTTCACTGGTGCACTGGCAGAGAAGCAGCGCATTCAGTTGGCCGCACCGCAGCCGACTCGTCAATAAATGAGTACAAAACAGCGTTTCCTAGCACATGTCGCTTACTGATTGTTTGGAAATTATAAATATGAGCGTAGTTCGTCTGTTAATATCACATGCACTTTTTTGTTTGTTGTTTTTTTTTGTTTGTTACTCGGACGCAGGCAGTGCGCTGCATGAGACAAAAAATATAGCTAAAACAACCGCATAGCCGCTCTTTAGTGTAGATGCATGTTGATTTTCAGACGATGCCGCGATTATAAATGAGAGTGATTCCTGGTTAACATGTATTAAAAGGGGTCATGTTTAGTCACTATTTAGTGTGGTATTTTTTGACAATATTCACTCATCATGACAGTAAAATAGGGCATTCTAAGTCAATATACTGCAGTATTTCCTCTCTCAATCAGTAGAAAATATGGTTAACTCCCGGTCATGCATGAAAAAAAAATACCGTCATGTACCGTGAAACCGGTATCATTTTGAAAAATACCGTGATATAAAATTTTGGTCATACTGCCCAGCACTAATTAGAACATTCAAGCAGTTTTTTTTAAATGTGCCATAGATAAAACATTGCTGGTGTGCATCTCGATACAAATCAATGGCAATAACATATTTTAAGATATGTCAGTGCAAGTTAATTTCAGTTAAGACAGTCTTGGACCAGGCTTAAGCCTCGTCTATGAATCTGCGCATTAAAGATGTTTTTTAGATAAAATTCTGTGTCTGTCCCTCCACCCGAGCAGGCCAGAATACAACCGAGGAAAAATAGGTCAGGCTTAGCATTTGCTTGGGCATAAATTTATGATTTCTTTCTAAAGCCCTTAATTTAATTTAGAAGAATGAGTGATAATACTGCAGTGACTCAGAGAAAAAGTCTCAGACTGATGGATGCCACTGATACCTGTTTTCCACCAAAATGGTGCTGGTTCTCATAGCCAGCAAAACTGCAAACAACTCGAGAACATGCAAAGACATCACTTGCCAATTAAAATCAGATCAGATTTTATCTTATTTAAACACATTTTAACATCCAGTGCTATTTAATTCAGGATCGACCTAGTTTTGACACACCCATCAAAAGTTATAACGGTCATAACTCAGTCACGTAATAGCCATAAATGTTTTTGGGTAGACGGAAAGTCAAATCAAGTACCTCATTTTTTAAGACATTCACTTATGCCGGTTGCAGCTTCTGGCCCAAGATTACCATGTTTTAGGTGGCAATGTGTAGTCAGTTTTTTTTAGGTGGGTTAAAGGGGGCTTTGGAGGTGTGGCAAAACTTAGCCAATCACTATAATTAATCACAATAACCTAATGCTTGTGAACTTACCTGAGGCCTCTGCTTGTGCTGTGACTGGCTCTGTGTCTGACCCTGCGTCTGCTCCCAGTTTCCCCGGGTCCGGCTTCCGCCCACTGAAGTCATCATTTACAGTATATACAAATAACAGTATTTACAAAGGAATAACACCTTTAAAAGAGAAGCATATAGAAAAATGTTACCGACAACTCTCCAAAAAATTCAAATAACAATCGTAAAAACATCACACGGTCTCGACAAACCACATTAACATTAAATATGCATGCAAATAACAACGCTACACCATATGTAGCCATTTTGATGAGCCAAAACTGTAAGTAAACAACGTCACATGCCTGACGCACTACCCATAAAACGACGGCCCAAGTTTACCAGAACACCAACAGAAATTAAATTCTAGGAACTTCGAAAGCTTTGCGCAATTACCGCATGTGAAAAACAAGACCAAATACTGTTTACAAGTCAAGCTGCAACAGGTCAACCATAAACGCGCTTCCGGGGCTCAATATCCTCAGTTTAAAGCTTCTTTAAAAACACACAAAAAACACCGTAGCCCTTCACATTTCGATATAATTACACCAAAAACTGTCCACCTGATGCAAGTTGCGAAATATTGCATGTGTGGTTATGCCAAACAGCCCACCGTAGCAGCTCTGCGCATAAGGAAATGTGGTGGAAGAAAGCAACTGCGCACATTAGATCGCGCACAGAATCAGCCAGTGTGATAGAAACACGCGGGACCAGCCGCGGGAAAACAGACGGACGACGTGCGTTAACGGACAAAGCTGAACAACAACAAAAACTCAACGGCCTTTGAACGGGGTGAGGGCGAGGACGTAGCTGTCAAACTGAGACCATGTTGGAGACGTGAACACAATCACACAGTCCATGGGTGAAAGTGTCAGCACGTCCTTTTATATTTCTTGAGCACTCACACTATTCCATACAGTAAATAAAACAAGGATATATGCAACAAGTAAAGTGTCTAGGAAAAGAAGCACATAAAAGGCATTCATTACCATGCATCGGAACGTAAACATGACCTAAAAGTATTCAATCGATCTGTAAAATAAGCATCCAACAGGTAACCTACATTGCCTGTAGTGCTCTACATCAGATCTGCATACTGGCAATCCCATATTAACTTACCGACTAAAAAGTAAGCAACTGTATACACTTTGTTAATAACAGAAAAAAAATCTTAAGCGGTGAAGGACTGATTGATAAGTCCAGACGATGGGCCTTGGAAAAGCAACTCGATATAAACTCAAACATGCAGATCTAACGATACGATATGAAAACATGCGCACTGTTTTTTTTAATAGTCTTAATAGGTTATTGATACGTTAAATAAAATAGAAAAGATCTAGATGATGGGTGGCTTCCGCTCTGGCCGCGTCTAATAACCTCATGGCCGGTTATCGGGCATCATGATGCTGCTGCTGCCCAAAAATTAAACTTTTCCGGTTGCTAATCAACTATATGGTTTCTCAGTGTAGATTAAAGAATAGTTGGGTAAATTGTTCGTTAGATTATTCGACACGATAATATTTTGCGTCTGCAAAACTGGAAGGCACACGCCCCCCGGGGTGAGGCGCACTCCCGTCGGTTCACCTGTACACTCGACACCGAGGCTTCACCAAGGCCTACAGGCCCCGAATGATAAAAATGAACAACAGGCGAGGTACTAACCAAAGACCCGGCTGGATGTCAGAAATGTGGAGATAACGCCGACCGACGGAGGCTTAATTATCGACCTCCTAATCAGACGGAAACAAAACACGAACTCTTTCGCGTCCTAAATCGATTCCCCAAAGCCGACAACAAGGCCGAACCGACTCGCGCAGACAATAAACGAGAGGCTCAAAATGTACCTGTTTCTCTTCCACAGCTGACACCCGGATCACCGCGTCACGTGGTTTATCACAGCCACTGCGGCTTCACGCGCAGAGCGCAACCACGTGATGACAACGTACGCATGTATATATAACAACTTAAACACAATTATGCAATATAAAATCTGTTACCCTGTAGTTGCAGTTGGGTATTTGTTATGCAAAAACCCACCTGATCATTGATACTGATGTCACAAATACATATGACATACATATTCCGTGAATAATTGTACAATATAACCTTGAAACTAATTAGAATATTAGCCTAAGTTATTTATTTATTTACAATAAACAATAAAAAGGATCAGAATAGGTAACATGGTTGCAAATTTAGCTGTAGTTCGGTAGATAGGTTAACTAGTTTGGGACCTAGCCACCATTTACATACAAACATTTTGTAGCTAAAACTAGCAACTTGTAACCAGAGCTCTGGGTAGTAACTGATTACATGCCAGTTGAATTACGTACTCAGTTTCCAAAAGTTGAATACTTGTAATTAGATTATATTACATTTTAAAGTGTTCATAATCAGATTGCAGTTACTTTTTTATAGATTACATGATTACATATTACACAATGGCAATAAATTGTTCATAATGTATTGATTCGCCATAATTCTTGTTTCTCTCTCCTTTAAAAATGCTACTGCTTATATTAATTCAGAAAGTTTTTTTCAGTTTTATGAAACTTCACACACCAGCCACTATAGTTAGTGTACTAATACTATTAGTTTAATTTGATATTTTATGATTTAATTATTAGCTTTTCATCACCTCACAAATCCCTACAGTTCTTTCAGGAACCCCAGTTTGGGAAACTTGGCAAAATGTTTAATGCTCTCCATGATGTTGGTGACAAAGAATAGAAAATATTTTTTTATGAGTTAGGTCAAAAGCAATTTAAAAGTAATCAAAAAATAGTCGCAATACATTACCTAACATGTGTGATCCAACAGATTACATTACTAACAATTTCCATTTTGTCATTTGTAATCAGTAATTTGTGCCTCAAGTGATTTTAAAAATGTGATATTTTTATAATATCCCAAAGTGTACTATATTGAATGAGCCTTAAATTATTTTGAATTTGATTATTATTTAAATATTTGAATTAAAGGAATTTCTAAGGCCTCTAAATGATCAAATGTATTTATTTTATTTTATTTATTTATTTGTAGTAAGTAAAAGGCCTAAAAATCATTTTCAGGTCATGGTATACTTCAGGTTATGATAATCTTTAATTATTTTTTTTATAAAGTAAACATAAGAGCTTTTATATTAATATTTCAAGCTCAACTTCTTGAGAAGTGGGACAAAACAGGGTGCAAAATTGAAAAAATAAAACCTTGTACTCAGACAAATTAAACTACATTTATGTATCTTATATGTACTAATCTACTGAGCTATGCTTTGATACAACCTCCCAACTTTTCTCTTTTTTAACCAAATGTGCTTTTTTTACCTTGGACTGTGTAATATAATTTCAGCTTTATCTTTAACAGCATTCAATATGTTTTTAACATTTCACAACACATTCTCGTGTTAGCAGACAGATTGCACTTTCACATGTGACCAACAATGCCACAACAAATATAAAATATTATAATGAAATATTATCAAAATATTCAACTGACGGAGGTGACAGAACTGACGGAGTTGACACATCTGACGGAGGTGACGAAAACCTGAATTCGTAGTCATTTTAACTAGCAAATACATTGAAACAGTATGTTATTGTTTATAAAGCTTTTATTCAAGAGTCACATTTAAGCATTTTGATATATCATTGGAACACAAAATCTTATGGTGGTGACATCTGACAGTGTTGACAAATTTGGCATTTCTTTCACAAAACCAATGGAGTTCATGTAGTAGCCATTTAATAATTCCACAACAAATATAAAATATCATAATGAAATATTATCAAAATATTCAACTGACGGAGGTGACAGAACTGACGGAGTTGACACATCTGACGGAGGTGACGAAAACCTGAATTCGTAGTCATTTTAACTAGCAAATACATTGAAACAGTATGTTATTGTTTATAAAGCTTTTATTCAAGAGTCACATTTAAGCATTTTGATATATCATTGGAACACAAAATCTTATGGTGGTGACATCTGACAGTGTTGACAAATTTGGCATTTCTTTCACAAAACCAATGGAGTTCATGTAGTAGCCATTTTATTTTTTTCTGTTGATGCTAGATGCTAATGGAACCTGCTTCAGGAGAATAAAATTATCTAAATATTTCAAATAATTTCCTCAGAAATTGGAAGATGGTGTTGACATATCATGGCTGTGACA